GAACACCCTCTGGGGTACTTACCCCCTTCTCTTAGTAGTCTATCAATGCCAGTATGTCCTCAGCTTCTGCTATACAGTCCACGTACCTGTATGTCACTTTACTGTCATAGGTAAAGGACGTCCCCTCAATGCCACCATTTTCTGGAATGTCTGGTTCACCACAAGAAATAGCTGAAGGAACAGAAAAAAACAAACAAAAAGCAATGCTCTTCTTAACTTGGGTGTGCAAAATGTGAGTCTGGGCTTCAAATGGAAAGAGTGATGCACATAATACCGCATTTCTATATCTTACACGCGACGCTCACTCCCAGTGCCCAGGAAACCCGGCCCCCGGCTACACACCTTCACAACGCGGCGCCGGATGATCCCACTCGCCAGACTCCAGGCACATGATCCTGGCGACTCCCTTCAGCTGGTGGCCTTGCTCACAAGAAAATGCTACTTCCGCGCCCACTGTATAAATCTCACCAGAAGAGTGGCCGTTTTCTGGGTTTCCCGGAGCCTTGCATTTCATAGGTTCTTAAAAGAGAGAGAGAGGTTTGGGGCAACAATAAGTGGCTTTCACAGAACCAGGTCAGGTCTCATAGCAAGAGGACCCCCCTCTAGTGAAGGTAAAATCCTGAGGAGTGCTTGCAGGGGGTGGCCTGCAGTCCTGCGGCACATTGGATACCAGGCCGACATAGATTTTAACGGACCCTCTGACAACCATATTTCGAAACAGCAATGACTAACAGAAATGTGCAACAGTTACTGAGCCGTGGAGGTTGGTTTTGCCTGGGAACACCGTGGATGACGTAGAAGGACTCCAGCCCTTTCCTGTCCTTCTAACCCTTAACCTTCACAACCTCACACCACTCTCCAAAGCGTTTAAGCTGATGAGTAGTCTGTACAAAACAAGATTTAAGAAAAGGTTCCAACTTTCCTTTTCAAATAGATGAGGGGACCTAAGCGCCTCCTATGTACAAAGGAAGGAGCTCAGGAGTGCTGGTGGAGTAGACAGTTATGAATTAGGCTGCTAACCATGGGGGGCGGGTAGGGTGGTGGTCAGCAATTGGGAACCACCCACCGTGTGCGGTCTCTTGGAGAAAGGAGGCATTCCACTCCCACCGAGAGTTACAATCTCTGAAACCCACAGGTGCAGTTCTATCCTGCCCTGTAGTGTTGCTTATGATTTAGAATCGATCAAGGCAGGGGAGGATTTGGTTTGGGTGGCGTTGTGAAGCCCTGGAGGTGGAGTGGGTTGTGCTTTGGGCTGCTAATCAGAAGGCCGGCAGTTTGAAACCACCAAGCCACGCTTAGGCTTTCTACACCCGGAAAGATTTATAGTCTTGGAAACCCATGGGGTGTGTCCAGTAAGGTCTCTGTTTGTCAGAATCAAGTTGATGGTCCTGAATTCTTTTGCTTGTTTTTCTTTTGGGCAGTAGTGCAGTGGAGTGAGGCATGTGGTTGCAAACACAAGAGCAGTGGTATCCACGTTCCATAAGCGAAAGATGAGGCTGGCTGCTCTGATAATGATTTATAGTCTCAGAAGCACTGGATAGGGTCAGTATGAGTTGGAATTGACTCAGTGGCAGTGGGTTTGGGGATTTTAGTATGCACAAATTAGGAGTCAGCCCTGCTTAGAAGGGAAATCAGTTGTAGGGAGGTTTGGGATGAGAACAGAGCGACAGGCATGACCATAAACTTGAGTTCTCCAAAAGAAGAAAACATAACGATCGCCTATGTCCAGAGGTCATTTTGGCTATACACCAAGAACTTTAAATGGAATCCTCTCTTGAATAAACTAGAAGGATGTGGGGGAAAAAATCAAGTTCATAAAACAGGCAAGAGAGAGGCTGGCAGAAGCCATGGACTAGATCTCTAGCCACCCTTCCAGTCTGGCAATGAACTCACCCTGACAACAGACAGATCGATGCGGGGAACAGTAACCCCTGGGAGGTGGCATAGTTTAGGATAGTCAACTATACTTCCAGAGGGAAGTATTTACCGAAGGACAAAGTTCAGAAGGGTTAGGAAAGAAGGTGGAATGGAAATAGGAAACATGGGTGGAAGCGGGATAAATGATTGCATTGTGGGGACGCCAACCAACAGCGTGAAACGCACTGCGTAGGACTTGTGGAATGGGAAACGGATCAACCTGCGACTGATCGCCACGTAGGCAACAGTAAACGGTTTTTTTCTCAAATTAAATCCTCTCAAAACCTAAGTGCCACGATGGAAACTGACCTTGAGAAATAACCAGATTATAAACAAAAAACCTCTAAGTTAAAAAAAATGCACGTTTTCCACACGGGATACTCAGCTACATGTTAAAAATATAGCAAAAATTAAATCCACAAAGTAGATTATGAAAGGTGATTTAAAATTCTTTTTCTCAAAGTAGTCAATGGTCATAAAACCTCTAAGGATGTCACACTGAGCTAAAATATAAAACTGCTTATATAGGGTTTACATTCATAGCAATAGGCATACATCTATGCATCTGTATGTACATAGAAAGCATACAGAAAAAGTATCAGAAAAAAATATATACCTGAATTTTAACAGAATTCCATTTCTGGAGGTTAGATTACAGATGACTTTCCTCTCGTTTTAATAATTTGCACATTTCCTCAAGAAAGTGGTAAATTAGAAAAGGTATTTTAAGCATGCCTTGTATATTGATGATTTAGAATCCTTAAAGCCACCTGCACCTCACGCTTTATCTGCTTCTAAATGACGAGATACAACTATGCCTTCAGGCCCCGCAGGCACCCCCCACAGCAGTCCCCATCCCTCATGGCGCGGACACTCTCCTAGTATATTTGAGAATGTAATTGATAGTATTTGCATACAATTTGAACCCAAATTCAGAATACTTATTCTGACTATCCCTCTGGTCAATTGGTTTCCAAGTTTAGTCTCTGTTGTGTTTAAATATTTACATCCTTTTCCTTAGGGTACTGGGCTTAAAATAAAACCTTTCCAGCCCCTCATCCCGCCCCCCTTTTTGGTGATGTCACCTTGTTTCCTATTGTGGATAACTTGACACCTGAAAATTTCTTCAGGTTTCTGTACTAATGTATTTTCAGTGTCCCATTGAGTCTTGTGGATAATTGCATTTCCTTGAGCAGGAAACTTTTTGCAAAGAATGGATGCATCTTACTCTGGGTACCTATTGATTCCCCTGATGATTTGATGCGTGATGTCCAAAATCATCTTTATTTTCTGCTCTCCTGTTTTCTGGGAGTTTCTGTTCACAATGAATGTAAAGAGGCAACGATGGATTGGGAGACAGGTCACAGCACATGTTGTCACAGCATGTATAGATGTGGCATATTTAAAAAAGCAACGTAATGCTGTGTCCCTGAGGCAGGGAACAGAGTGTGAAGCTATAAGCATTCATTTGGAACCTCTGTTGGCTCTGACTTAGCAGGAGAGCCATGGACTAGGTTTCTAGATCTTCTCTATTGTTCTGTACTTTGTAGACATTTCTTCAACACTGGTGATGGGATGGGCTCTCAGTTTTTATTGTTCAGATATTGAGAAGTTGGGAAAGACAGGCACGAAGATAATTTAAAGCACTTATAATTGTTGCTCAAATGTCTTTAAAAGATGTTCATCATCTCTACTCCACTGGGTGCCCTTTGAAATCAAAAACACTCCTAATTTTAATAACATAGACTTGAAATATATGTGAATAAAAACTTGAAATAGGAGTCCCCATTTATACACATGTAGATACCTGCACACGTTTTACCATCTCCTGTGTATGGTGGGGTACAGGAACACATGTAGGATCCAATTGTATTCTGGCAGGCTGCGTGGTCACTACAATCAGATCCAACCGCACATTCATCAACATCTGAAATGAAGACCACTTACAAATATAAAAACAGGCTCATTTTTTCTACAGAAAAAAATCTGTCTCTATTTTTAAATCATTATATATAATTTGATTCAGTGTTTTATATGCAGTTATAACATTTAAATATAATAGCCATAAGTCTATCCCAGGTACATAACCAAAGCGATTGTTTTCTTAGTGAATAGACAGTTGACAGTGAGTCTTACTATGGAAGCTAATAAAAAGTAAAACCATTCTTTGGCACCTTTGTGGACAGTGGCCGTAGCCCAGGGCTTGGTCAGAGTGTACTGCAATGAGATAAAAGTTATCAAAAGGGATGCTACGAGAGCCTCAGGAATTGCGGGCCACCAAATAGAGTTGGGATGTCTGCCACCAGCAGAGCCGGAACAAACCCGGAGAGAAATTGCTGAAGTTATCTCACCAAGGCATGATGGCGAGATGCCATTCCAGCTCCCGTTGTCTGTGCAGAACATCCTGGAATCACCCAGCAAATAGTAGCCATTGTTGCACTGGTAGGTCACTGTGCTGCCAGCGTGGAAGTCCTCAGCTGAATAAAAGCCATTCTCCAAAGCAGGTGGCACCCCACAGCGGATCCCTGAAATGTACCCGGGAAGAACACAGCTCCATTAGGAGGGCAGAGCTCAGAGAACATTATCTTTATATTTTAGAGGCATTCCTTTACACATGAACATTTCCAAGACACAGGAACATTAGCCCGAAAGGGCTCTAAATGTGGTAGTCTACTGCAGTCACACCTGAGCTCTGTGAGTCAGCGCACTCTCCGGGGCATCGTAGGTATGCCATTCATTCATTCATTCATTCATTCATTCAAAGTGTTCACTGAGGTCTCACTCCCTCTAAGTACAAGCCGAGGTGCTGAGGTTACAGTAGTAAACCCAGTAAAATCCCTTCCTTGCGGACCCTACTTGTTAGGGGGTGTCGAGAGACAAGAAACAAATAGATGATATATCGCAGTAGTGCGTGCAATAGAGAAACGTCTGTGACCCCCAACTTAAAATAGCACTCTTTCCATCACCCATCCTCCCACTTTGTATTTCTCTACGTTGAGTCCTAGATTTCTCCTTAGTCCTTACCACTAGCGCTGACCATTATTAGGTATTGAGTGGGAATTATTGTATCTCCATGCCTATCATCTGTCTCTTCCACCATATGAACAGGGACGTCTCTCCCCAGCTATTGCATCTCCAAGACTCTGACCAGAACCAAGCACACAGTGAGTGCTCTACCAGTGCTGGATGAAGGAAATTACACACCTACCTGAAGAGACCTCTTACTCCCCACCCAGCAGTGACCCCTGTCCCTCTGGGCCTCCAGCCTGCCCAATCTGTCTTTTTCTCCCACCCACTTCCTTTGCCCGCCTGCCTGCCTTCACAAGTAGTCTTTGAGGATCTTCACTGGTCACTTCCCTCAGGGCGGCCAGTACAGTTAGTGACACACATGAAGGATCCGAGGAAGACATGCTCCATTTGTTACCGTGAAGAAACTAGCTTTCATCTGGCTTTCCTGCACAGTGCCCCTACGGTGCCAACGCTTTTCTCAAGAGTCCCTGAAATGAGGTCAACAAAGGCAGCTCACGTTCACAGTGAGGAAGAGGGTGGGTCCATTGTCCTTGGTTAAGACAGGACTGCACGGGATTCCCGACCATCTGGAAGCCCGGGTCACAGAACACACTGACTTCGGAGCCTGGCTTTACATCGACGGATGTAGTTCGCAGGTGTGGTACGGATCTTTCTAAAGGCGGGCAATCTGATGACAAAGCAAAGGGGGGCGGGCTTGTCAGCAGCATAGTGACACCACCACCACGTCAGGGGTTTCGAGGCTTACTTTGCACCAGCATTTCAGAGCAACTCTACAGACATCGAAACTAGGTATAACTAGGTCAGAGGCAAGTACGAGTTCTAGAACAACCTATTTGAGTTAACAGCCTTCCCTATTTGCAGCAAAAACCGGGTGAATATTGTCTTTAAGGAAAAAGAAATCAGTGTTTTAGGAAGATGAAAAAATGTTTATATACATGATCACCTAATTCTAAATTCTAAGACTTCTAACAGAGGTAGTTTCGTTCACCCCGAGTTTGAGGATCCCTTTTAACGTTCATTGCTTTTCTCCCTTTGCGCCCTGTCCTATCCTTCTCCCCATTCTGCCCCCAACTCAGACAGCTGCAGGGGAGTAACGCGTTAAGAATAGTCCCCTTCTGGGCTTAGGTGGAGAGCAAATGTGAGAATGATGAGGGCAATGAATGTACAAATGTGCTTTATCCAATTGATGTATGTATGGATTGTGATAAGAGTTGTATGAGCCCCCAATAAAATGATTAAAAAAAAGAATAGGGTAATGAATGTACAAATGTGCTTTATCCAATTGATGTATGTATGGATTGTGATAAGAGTTGTATGAGCCCCCAATAAAATGATTAAAAAAAAGAATAGGGTAATGAATGTACAAATGTGCTTTATCCAATTGATGTATGTATGGATTGTGGTAAGAGTTGTATGAGCCCCCAATAAAATGATTAAAAAAAAGAATAGTCCCTTTCAAACAGGAGCCTTGGACTTTGGTCAGCATTTCACAAATTCACTTTACTCCCCTTCTCATCTCATTTCTTAATCTTATTTTACCTTTGTCCACAATTCCAATTAAAGTTTCGCCTGTTGCACAACATGTACTTCAGAATTTAAAGACACCATCAATCTTTGGGAGGATGGTAGGATAAAAATGAGTACTTAGCTAAGCAACAGACTCCCCCCAAAGTCCACTGCGGTGAAGTTGATTCTGATTCATGGCCACCAGAGAGGACGGAGTAGAACCTCTCCTGCGGGTTTCTGAGACTACAAATCACCGTGGGAGCAGGCAGCCTCATCTTTCCCCCTCTGATCGGATAATGGGTTTGAACCACTCACCCTGTGGTTAGCAGCCCAATGCTTAACCCACTGTGCCACCAGGGCTTCTTAAAAGACAGACAGGCATGCACCCATTGAGCAAGACAGAGTCTTGAATTGGCCCCCCTTTCCAGAAACCCCGGGGTAGTCCAGAGCTGAGAGAAGGAAATGCTGACCAGAACAGAACATGCTCTTGGAGTCCATCTTCACTTTGCCCACAATCCCCGACAGGAAATCCGGCCAGGCTAACACGTTTCCTCTGTTGAGTTCCTCTGGGCATGAGGTAGCCAGGGATTTCACCTGAACGTTCAAGGAGACATCTTTAGACTGGCCTCACATGTTTCACAAAGACACATTCATACCTTCACTTAGTCCTGTTGGAACAGTCACAGACGTTCAGGGGACAGGCTTCTGCATGGTATGATTTCAGGGCCAACAAGAAGGGTCTCGTCTCTCTCCTTCTTCCCGACCCCATTGTTCCTTCTCCCAAATGCTTTCTTCCTGGGCTCACTGTTTCCAGGAAGGCAGATTTCTGTACATAGACAGTCTGCTCTGGTCTAATGCCACGCTGTTTATGAAGGTATTGTAGAGGTGCCCATCTCGTCTAGCTCTGATGGGGTGCTGGGAAAGCCGAGGCTTGGAGAGGGTTTGCTACTGTAGTAATAGGAGCAAACCTACTCAATCATTACTCTGTGCCAAGCCTTCCTGCTGTGGGTTGACCCGAAATAGATTCTGACCTGTGGAGAAGAGCGCCGGGGTGCAGAGTGCATAGAACTGCTCTGTAGGGTTTTCAATGGCGGTGGCCACTTAGAAGCAGATCACCAGCCTGTACCCCAAGGTGCCTTTCGAGGGGCTCAGACAACAACCGTGCAGCCAGGTGCCTAACCGGGGACTTCTAGGTCATACCAGGAATCTCTCTGCAGCACTGGATTTAATCATGTGAAAAATCTGCTCTGTCATTCTATTTATTTATCTTGTAGTGATAAGAAAGTAAAGCTTTAAGAGACGGAAGCACTTGCTCAAAATTATCATAGTGAGTTCATGGTATAACTGGGACCGGAAGCAGGCAGTTTGGGTTCGCCCTGTCTTTATTCACTAGCCCATTTGTGGGTATGTACCATCTTGGGCCAACCTAAATCTTGGAAGCTTTACTTAAAGGGATTTGAAGCACTCCATTCTCGATTATTCCTCCCATCTTTAAAATGGTATGATTTTATAAAATAACAATTTCCAATACCTTTTAAGTATACTACCACCAAGAAACTAATTATAAGAGGGTGGATGGGGTGGGGGGAGTGGGGGATATATTGGAAGCTTTCAGCAGGTAACCTCTGCCTGGCTTATTCTCTGACCCTACCTATAAATGACATTGGTGAGATTCTGCAAACCAAAAGCTGACAGCAAGATACGGCATCATTAGGCTGTTCACATTTGTACTGGGTTTGTACCTTTGAATCTCATTACTGTCATACACTGAAAATGGAATTGACCTGCTGTGGAGACAGGACATAGTCCCAGAGGTTGAGCTGGCTAATGGAGCCCACAAAAGACTCTGCTGGATTGAATCCCTCTCCTTTTAGGTCTTGCTCTTGTCCGAGAACCAACGCGCCACCACCTAAAGAGAAAGAGAGGAAGAAGGAGGGACACTGGCATGATTGTTAATTCTGACAAGCTAATTTGCTGAAAGGCAGGTCAGTATAAATAGAAGATTGTTGAAAAGTGCAATGAGCTAAACCTAAGGCTAGTTCTATCAATAAGAGCAGACCCAATGATTTCTAGAGCAACTTAAAAATGTTAGCTATATTTTGGGAATATTAGATTGGATTCATGAATATTCACTCAACTTAAGAACTCTATGTATATAATATTCTGTCACACAGAATAGGTTAAGTTCACTTTGTTGACTTCTTCTAGGGAATTATCCTCCATGACAGACTATAAGAAGTCTCATTTCTTATTCCTTAGCCTATAATGCTATGTTTATTAGTATTTTATTATAGTTCAGTGCAACTTATTTTCAGAATGCACAGTCAATGCTTTTTTCAGTTTTGTTTGTTTAATCTTCCTTCATTGAAACGCCAGTGCAAAAACATATGCAACAAAGAAGACTGAGCCATGAGGTCTCCTAGCGCAAGTCCTTCTGTCGGCAGATGCGCCCAGAGTCAGGCATGATGCTGGGAACGGGCTGGTTAAAACCTTCGCACACTCTCCTCTCTGAAGGTTTATGCTAAGACCTTTTGAGAGGAGTGCTTGAGTTCTATTCGAAAAAGGGCATACACAAAAATGAGCCATGAGCAGCCTTTCTGCTTGTCTACCAAGTACAAACGATCTCCTTCCAAAAGATAACACAACCCCAAACCAAACAACACAAGCAATTACTCTTGTTGGAAGGCAATTGTAGGATGAGCTGTTGTTCCTTCAGCATGCTTCCTGGCTGTCTGTCTGTCTGTCTGTCTGTCTATCACCTATCCCAAAAGGCCGTTCCTAACCATAGTACCATATAGCTCACCTGCGAAAAAGCTCCAGTTAATTCGCAAAATCAGGGGAAAGTAAATGCCACAGGTAACTGTTGATCTTTGTCTAAAACCAAGGACAATAACCGCCAGCAAACCTGTTGCCCATTTACAGACCACCACCCTGAGAACAGGCTGATTTTGCTGAGCCATACCAGGGATAGCAGAGCCAGTAGAGAGGCCGGAGCCACCATCTGATAGTTTCCCATCTAGATACACTTTCCAAGCTCCGTCGGCACTTGTCCAGGTGATTCCGATATGGTGCCACTTGCCATCGTTCACCGCGGGACAGTCCGTTATCCTTTCCTTGCCGTTCACATACAGAACCCAGCTGTGGGGGGGAGAGCAGGTGGCGCAGTCAGCAGATATACATGGAAATTCTTTCTGTAGGACAAATTACATCTTTTTTCCTCTTTTTTTTTGGTGGGTAATTTATATAATCTCATCTCTCCTTTTACGTATTTGGCCACATTTCATAGGAGAAGACTTAATTCACAAATTATACAGTACTGTAGCTTATTGGGTGGTAGGAGTAAACCTTAGGATAAACTAAGAAAAGCGGATCCAATTTGAGACAAGTCACCAACTGGCTATTTTATAGAGAGGAAAGAGTAGGAGTTCTACCAATATCAGTTTGTTTTCATTTCTCTAAGTGTATTCCTGAGACTGAGAATAATCTTGTAATGTCCCAGAGAAAGTGAGTTCCATTTCATGATTGAATGCTTCTACAGGCATCTCCTCAGAACCTATATCAACATATTTATGAAAAAAATTCAAATGTAGGGTTTCCACCACAAGAGAGGGATTTCCTCGGGTTGAGAAGAGAGCTCACGGGGTCCTGAGACCGACAACTTACAGCAGCAGGCTGAAGACTTGTGTGGAGACTGAGGGTCAATGTCACCACAGAAATGCCTGAGGCCGTGGAGGCCTTGGTATGTAAAATCAGGAGCACCAGCGAAAACAGCAATCAGAAATGGCGTCTTAGCGCTGTCGTTCTGCTGTGAGGTTTTAGGCAAATCATTTGGCCTCTCGGCAACTTAGCTTTCCTCTCTGTGAAATGGGCACGAATCCCTCAGTGCCACATCATGGCACTCATGTGAAGTAATGCATACGAAAGCACGACGCCTGTCTAAGGGAGTATCGCTAAACCTGGGCTCTCCTACAGAACTTGTCTAGATGGAATATTTAGTCATTGACTTCTTGCTGTTCTGCTGTGGCCCTGGACCACCCTCCTTCTCTCTCCCTCGCCGAGGTTCTACCTTGATGTCAGGGTAACGTCCTAAAGATGATCCCCACAGAGGTAGGGCGGCGCTCTACTGCATCATCGTCCCCACACGGCATTCAGGCGCTATACTAGACAATCCGTTTACCCGTTATAGTCCGTCAGGAGGAAGGTATTGTCCTGGCCATTGTCAAGTGCATAGGAGATTGGTGTTCCATAGTTGAAGATGTCTGATGATTTCATCCAGAATGTGCAGGTCACGGCGCGGAGAGACGGCAGCACTCCATCCAGCAAGACATAACCATAGATCCCAGACACCTCAAAGTCCAGGTTAAAACTCCTAGACCGTTCTGCAACGAGTAAGAAACATGTGCAGATTGTAGCCCATGAAAAGGTACCTTTCAGTGGTTCTGGGTCCGAATCAACTTAACTGCACAGAACAACAACAAGGGTAAATTCTCTCAGAACATAAGCTTATTTGAGAGGCAGTTTCAAAGTGAAACGCATGTCATTTACCAAACAGATGGCATTCTCTTCGAAGATGCTCATTGGCGCGTACCTGAGATGCAAAACCACTCAATAGTGGAAAGGAAACAGAGAACTGGAATCGTTGGAAGGGGAGGTCGAACTGAGGAGTTCTTAACAAGGGTAGACTCTAAGGCATGCCTGTAGAAACCAAACTCAGACTCGAAGGAGCCTGACAGGACACAGTAGAACTGCCTCTGTGGGTTTCTGACTCTGTAAATCTTTATAGGAGTAGAAAGTTTTGTCCTCCTGTGGTGCGGCTAGTGGTTTTGAACTGCTGACCTGTGATTAACAACCTAATGCATAACCACTATGGGCCAGCAGCACCCTCACAGAAGAGAAAGGGGAGGTAACTACAGGAACAATGGTCCACCCTACCCAGGGGTTCTGGCTTGTCTCTCTTTCCCAACACCTGTGTACTCTCGTCAATAAATCAAAACAAATTAAGTCTACAGTTAAAAGATCACCTGTTTCCTTTAAAAAAGTAGCTTAGAATTAGCTTACTGGATCACAACCGGATCCAGGGACTCTCACACCTCTTAAGTCAAGTAGCTTATCAAAGGACTCCTAAATATGAGAAGAGTTGTGCTAAGTAGAGTTTTCTTTACCTCCCTTACATCCCTACGCGTCACTGTCCTCACCTGCGCTACTGGAGATGCTCGTAATTGAACCTAGTCGATTGGATGACCACCTCGGGGGACACAGAGTGGAGCACAATATTACTAGATGGAAGGTGTGAGTGATTCACTTGGCAGCCACTGACGACAACAGGTTACAGGACGATTGTGAAGACTCTTTAATTTTAACTGAATAATTGGGAGTTAATACATATATCATGCCATCGTTCAATCATGCCACGGACAATTGTACAATTGCTACCACGATCGGTTTCCAAACATTCTTTTTCTTCCTGGATTCCTTGACATTATTTCCCCCACACCAGCACCACCACCACCACTGTACCATCCCTCCCCTGCCCCCCAAACCCTTCTTCTACTTGCTGTCCCTACAGGTTCCACTATTCTCAGTTTCATAGACTGAAAAACCAACAGTTTCAAGAGGGTGCCCTCTGATGACATAACCCTCTGAGAGGCACCCTTATGTGAACAAAAAAAAAATACAGAAAATGTTGAACACCAGATCCAGTCCAGCGTGCATCACAGGGGGACCAACTGACAAGGCTTTAACAGTTCAAGTCAGATTTATGCCTTTGATCTTCTATATTCATCTCCCCATTGTCCTTATTTAGTAGCCCCTTTCTTCCACCCCTCAGGCTGTGTGCTACGTAGCTCCCACAAATGAATCTTGGAACTCCTAGTGTCAGCCATAGCCGTCTGCAAACCAGATTCTCACAATTTAGCCTCTGATACTAATCCCCCCCTCGACTTTGGACTATTTGATTTCCAAGCTGTCAGTGTGTAATTATGATGTGCTTCTTCCATGTGGAGTTAGCTGACGTCTCACTTAAATGGCTGCTTGTTTGCAGACAAGCTTTTAAGACCCCAGATGCTATTTGATCTGATAGCCAGGCACCATCTAATTTCTTCACCACACTTTGCTAAAACACCTTATCTTCTGTGGTCTCTTTCTTTGGGTGAGTATCGAGCAGGGCCATGATGTAAAAACTAATTGTTCTTAAGTTGGAGCTAGGATTTAATGTGAGCCAAAAATCTATTCTTGGATCTGTGTGTTTTAAAATTCCTTATTACTTGAGAGTTAATACATATGTCATATCATTCCATAGTTCAATTGTGTCAAGTAGAATTGTACAGTTGCTTCCACAATCAGCTTTCAAACATACTTTTTCTCCTGGATTCCTTGACATTGTCACCCTTTGACCCCCCAGAACCCTTGTGCCCCCCCCCCTTTGAAATCTTTATTCTACACTGGTCCCTATAGGTTTATCCTGAGTTTCATTTACTGAAAAACAGAAAAAGATATAATACAATTTCAAGAAGGTGACCTCCAATGATATAACACCTCTGAGATACACCCTATTATGAACAAATAAAAACAAAATAAAATGAAATAGAGTTTCCTTCATAGGTTTGCCAAATAACACATATGCTAATACAGCATATAGGGCATTGATGTATCAAGACCTTGTTTGTTTGCCTACCAACAGTTCATCAATATTGGCACAGCTGTCTTATGCTTTCTCAGATGTGGGGGAAAGACTGTTTCCTCTTAGGCAATCAGGGCAGGACCCCAACCTTTCACCGCTCAAGGTTGTGAGAAGGCTTAGCCAGGAGAGCTGATGAAGCAGCCACCTGAGATAAAACAGACACTTTGCCTCATGTTCCCTGGCCAGGCTGCAGAAGCAGCAGTCTGCAAACTTATCAGCAACTTCATGTTCCCAACCTCGTCTTTCCCTCCTGTCTGTGGACAGCTGGCTGATAGGTTAATACTTCTTTGTAGACTCTTAAAAATTGTCAAATGCCTTTTGTGTAAACTTGTCATGTGTTGCAGCCCGTGCGCAGGGAGGGTAGTTAAACCTGCTTCAAATATAGTTCAGGGTCCTGAAGTGTCTATGCTGCAGGGTCCCCTGAACCTCAACTTTATTATCATTTTAAATCATTTTATTGGGGCTCATACAACTCTTATCACAATCCACACAAATATCAATTGTGTAAAGCACCCTTATACATTCATTGCCCTCATCATTCTCAAAACTCGCTTTCTGCTTGGGTTCCTGGAATCAACTCCTCATTTTCCTTTTACCCCTCTCCCTCCCTCCCCGCTCCCCCTCGCTCATGAACCCTTGATAATTTATAAATTATTATTATATCTTATCTTACATTGCCCAGCGTCTCCCTTCACCCACTTTTCTGTTGTCCGTCCCCCAGGGAGGAGGTTATATGTAGATCCTTGTGATCGGTTCCCCTTTTCTACCCCCTCCTTCCCTACTGCAGATACCATAACATTCCACCGTTCAGTCACATGAAGCAATATTATATAACTGTTACCACAGTTTAAAAATATTTTCTTTCTTCTTGAACTCTGTTCCCTCCACCTCCCACCATACCCTCCTGGAACCCTTCTTTTTCTATAATAGGATTGTATAAGATATGGCAAAAAAAAACAACCCAACTATCTATCCATTCATGTACAATCCCATTGAGTGGGATTACGTAGTCATCAATGCTATCAGCTCCCCAATACCCCATTTCACCCACCCTCTCTTCCCGTACCCTCAGGGAACCATTACTCCTATTACTATATCTGAAGGGTTATCTATCTTGACTTTCATGTCCCAAATGACTTTAAATATACAGATGAACATATGCAAATCTAACATGCTTAATGAGGTAAAACAAATGAAAGTCATAATAAGGGCAGGGAATATTAGAGAACTAGAGGATAGTTATGTGGTTCACCAGTGCCATACCACACCCTGGATATATCATCCCTCTGTGTGTGGCCATTTTGTGAGGAACGGTCCAATTATCTTACAGGTGGGCTTTGGGTCTCCAACACATCCACGCCCCTTCACATCAATTTGGTTGCTCGTTTTTGAACTTCTGATACCTTTTCCCGTCAACACCTCATGATCACACAGGGTGGTGCTGCACCCCAACTTTGGTGTTATCTTTTATCTATAAGTTTTCTATGCAGATTGTACCTCTCTCAAACCCATCAGATTTGTAAGATAAGAGTCTGACTCTGTATTATCTTACACTCTGACACCATGTATTTTCTGACTTAAGTCCTCAAGTTACAAGTGCGTCTAAGGTACAGTCCAGATCACTCAGTGGAGTTCTGTATGGGATGATCTCACTGATGCTGCCTCTGGAGCATGCTGTGCACCTTGAAGATCCAGAATTCAGTGTCCTGGTGTTCATGGCACCTGGCCTGGGTGCCCAGGATACATCGAGAAGCCCAGGTCTATGTGGCTAATTTGGTGCATACCACCAAAGACACTCCCCCTCCCCCCAACACCCCCTAGAGTCCCCTAAATCACTTTCAGTCATCCTTCTCCCCAGCTGGAGGCTGGTCCTCCCTCTTTTCCTATCAAGAGACATGCATTTCTGTCCCCCAGACATGGTTGCCCCCTTTCCCCTCTGCTAGGTTGTTTTCCCAGCAGTATCCCTCATCCATCTGGTAGGACTTTCTACCTATCGGGGGAACATCATCATAGATTTACACGGTAGCCCATCTATAGCCAACGTCCCATTTTCCTTCCTTGACCATTTGATCCCAGCTGACGGGCAGTGCCCTCCGGCCAAGTGACCTTGTGAAGATTTTAAACAGTGCTCACTGCCCACCATCATGTTTGGCCCACAGGTCATGCTCAAAGTAAAAAGAGAGATATGACCATTTTAGTTATTGTTATTAATAACACTGGGATCATATATACCTGTTTCACAGTTACTGCCTGAAAATCCTGGCAGACATTTGCAGCTGTATGAGTTGAGTCCATCCACACAGGTGGCCTGGTTCTGACATGGGTTAGAGTGACACTCGTTGGCGTTCAGCTCACAGTGTGGCCCCGTGAAGCCGGCCGGACACCGGCACCTGGAAGGACAGATGACGTGACAGAGGACTGCAGAGAGGCCTCGGAGAAGACTCCGGGTCATGATAATGGGCCTCAAAAGGTGCTGAAAACTGAGGAGCTGAAACACAGTTTGCACATCAAAATCAGCCTCGGACTCTTCTTAAAGAAGTTTTCACAACAAGAGCCCAGTTGACACATTAGAAGAACTGTAGCAGCAAAACCAACTAGAAAGCCAAGGTGAAGTATTGTGCACACACAGCGCTTTCTGCCCCTGCAGAAGTGGCAGGGGAAGAAATAAAAGCCCAGACATGGTTCTGAATGCTGTCTATATCTTTAAGCTTTCTAAGTCTTCAACCGATCTTTGCAACAATAAGGTAATACAACTATTATTATTATTATTATTACTACTCCTATGGAGGGGCCTTAGTCATATTCCCAAGCCTGGCTGATATGTCCTTAAACAAATTACAAAAGGGTATGCATAATATGATATAACTTCCAAAACATGCTTACCAATACTATGTGCTATTTATGGGGTCACAGCTGTAGTAAATGGTAAACCCTAAATGAGGAAGGCAGCCCCTAACTTCCAGACAGTGGTTACTTCTGGGGAAGAGGAAAAGATACTGTGTGTGTGTGTGTGTGTGTGTGTGTGTGTGTGTGGTGGAGGCAATCCACAAGATCTCTAGAACTTATTTAAAACAACAGATGTGACATACATGAATAAACAAGCAAGAAGAAAGCACAAGCCGACCGACAGAGTGGATTCTGGCTCACCACACCCCTTACAGGGTTTCAGAGAGTGGGAGTCCATGGGAGCAGATCCCTTTATCTGCCTTCTGTGGAGCAGCTGGTGGGTTTGAACTGCCCACTTCGGCAGTTAGCCGTCCAGCACTTACCCAGTAGTGCCACCAGGGCTCCATACGGCCATGGCTTTCATTACTCTTTTTTCTTTCATTTGTACTTTTCTCTAGCTTTGAAAGATTTCAGAACTAAAAGGGACTTGTTCAATAAATGGCAACTGATATACTTATTAACACTTCCCACTGAAACTTGAGGTGGAATCAGGGGATTATAAATTGATTTTCTGGATTTCAAGTTAAATCTAATGATCTTTATCCTCTGCGATTTGAAATCACTCCAACATCTTCCATTATGAAAACAAATTCACGTTGGTGGTAACTTGCATTTGGATTAGGAGTATTTATCTTCACTGTTTTCCTTGTAAGAATTGAGCTCCATTTGGTGTTCAATTGTTTTGAATACTGGGGAGAATTTGAAAGACTTGTATTTAGCCTCACCTGCATATTTCTCTGTCTGTGATCCGGGTGCTATAGCACACAGGATGCAAAGAGCGAACATTAAGCTGATGTCACACTGATGAAATCTCACCTTGCTAAACATCTCATTGGGAGAAGTGCCTTCCTAATTCTTCTCGATACTGTCCTGGCCATTTGTTGGGTGACTGTGATGAAAAGGATTGGGAAATCTTTCAACTGACGAAGACTTTTAAAAAAAATTTTAACTTTCACAAATGTAGAGAGCCAGGAATGTATTGTCTTGAAGACAATAACGTTTTCTAGGCTTTCGCATGCAGGGCTGTCCTATCTTCAGTAGAAAGCATACATCTTGCAAGGGCACGGGCGGTAGAGGTCTATCTTGATAGCAATAGTAGGACAATGTTAGTATTAAAAATATTCTAGGAGCTGCCTTGGGAAAACCAAGCCTCTCTCCCTGCAAAATCACTACTTCCCTCTACACAAGCACAGCTTTTATTATTTCATTTGTGTACACACTCCAGTTAAATTAAGTTTCAATTAGGATTATGCAACTCTTAAAGCAAGTTTGAAAACCTGGATGTAATATGTAGATTGGCATTGTGATATACAATTACTCAATTCCTTCTGATTTAACCTACTGTGTGGACTTTGGATATGCTATCAAACTCTTACAAATATGGGTTTCATCTAATCTAGTGTTAGATGATACGCTTCTATGCACTTATTTCCTTTCATCTCCTGTGATTTCCTAAGTATAGAACAGTGGTTCCCAAACTTGGCTGTGCATAAGAATCATTGGGGAACTTAAAAACTGCATCTTTCCTATTTTAAAATCACTCGTGTTTCCCCTGTCTTAGTGATCAGGTCCTCAAGTGGAGGGTGGATTCTACTGTAGCCTGAACTTGGGCTACTTTTTCAGGAGTGGCTGACTCAGAACTCAAAGTCAGACCTCACAGAGGCTGCAGAATGACTCCACAAATAAGAAAACACAAACATGAGAAGGACAAGACAGAGTCTTTTACCTGAAGCTGTTGACACCATCTTGGCAGGTAGCTCCATTTTTGCACGGTTGACTGAGACATTCATCCACATTTTTCTCACACCAGGCACCCCCAAAGCCAGGGGGGCATTTGCACAAGAAACCCCCAACTTGGTCTTCACAGGCTGCGTTGTTTAAGCACGGGCTCGACTGGCATTCGTTGACTTCTGTTTCACAGTGCGGGCCTGCGGATGGATGAGAAGGACAAAGAATTCAAATCATTGACTCCCGGGGACAACTGTGATCAAGGAGTTGACTTATTGGAAGAGGCTGCTTCCTAAGGGACTGGATTGGACACTGCTGAGACTAGCAAACTGATCAGAGAGCCAATTCTTTAATGAGCTCTAACTTTTGAATTCTGTGTTTTTTGTAATCTGCTCTTAAAAAATTTTTTATATATCACCCTTTTCTGAATCCAAGACGAGTAATGGGCATCTCATTGAGAGACTGCTGGTTGCTCCATCTGATTGTCCCAGTGCCTTTGGAGAAACCTTGGGCTGCTTAGCCTGGAAGTGGTTTTCCTGGTTCCTGGGAAGCCCTGGATTTCCTCCTCACCAGGGCTGCCTCTGGTGGCGGCTCACAAGGTCTTCCTGTGCTGTTACCTGGTGGCCATGCTTCCTGGACTGGACCTCACATCAGTTCCTTATTGACCAAAGAACTGGCTTGAAAGCTTTTGTTCCTTGTTTCTCTCTCACACCTACCCCTCCTCTCCCCCTTCCTCCTCCAGCTCCCTTTCCCTAGCCCACGTCTATGCAGAAATGCTTAATTGATGGAAGACTCAAATGGCTAGTAAATTAAAATAGGAAAATAAGAAAAATCAAGACAGCACATGAAAGAAAATAAAACTCATGTTACTCTCAGATATATCTCTGCACAGTAGATATACACAAAACAGAATCCTATGGCTTATATGCCTGTACCTGATTATTTTTCATTTATCAATAACCATTCTCTTATGATGTTAAATATTCTGCATTAAAGTTGTTCTTTGTCAAAGGACCATCCAGAACAAGGCACTGCCTGGTCCTGTGCCATCTTTTGTATCCCATCATATTTATTGAGGTCTTGTATTTTTAATTTGGGAGAAATTCGACTACAATTTTGAAACTTTCCTTTCAATAATGTGTCTCAATTTTTAAAGATTTTTATCTTCCAGTAAAATAAAAAAAATCAACTTATAGATTCAATATGTTTAAGTATAATTTACTTTATTGTGAGTTAATAGCTATTTGGTTATGATACTTTATATTACTATGGTTATGATTTTTATTTATAGTAAACATAAATATATGATATTTAAAATAGTTACATATTTATTTCCAATCATAATTTATTTCCATCAATAATAATTGATTCATAATTTAGAAATTATAATCAAAAATTCATAAATTATAAATCAATTATAATGGAAAGTCTCATCAATTTTCAATCACTCTAGTTTATCCATTTGTATCACATCAGCAGATATTATGAACAACCAAGTCTGGCTGGATCTCTCTGTCTTCTATTTGACATAAAGAGAATCCTCGTTAGTCCAGTGTCCTCCTGGTCTGTGTGAATGAGTGCAGGTTTCTGAGCCCCATGCAAGTCCAAGGCGGGCTCAGAATATCATGCCTCCTAGGTCATTTCTATGAGCAATAATCTGATGTTTTATTAGATTGGTTGCTGATTTGAAATACACACTGTTAATCATATGATGGAATTAGCATTTGGTGTCTGAATGAAATACTATTTTACTTCCAAAGAGACGACTGAATTGATTGAACTCTTTTGGGACTCTCTGTATCTCTTCTTAAGGCCTTTCAAAATTCAAAGAAAACATCAGTCACGTAATAATCTGTGCAGCTCTACAGAATTTTAAGACAATATGAAATGACAACACGGTACCTATAAATCCTTTCACACAGGTGCAGCGATAGCCAGCCACCCCATCCACACAGGTCCCTTTGTTCAGACAAGGGCTGGAACTACACTCGTTTATGTTTTCTTCACAGAGTTGACCTGGAGGGAGCACAGAATCGCTGAGCAGGAGAAGCCTCAGAGGACTTCTTTAAGACCAGTCGTTTTTTTCAGGCGTCAGCTGAACAACTGGGAATAATAGCTTACCTGCTCGTGAAGCATCTTGCTATTTTCAAAATACCCAACAAATTTCATACCATTTTCAGCCAGGAATACCAGTGATATTTATTAGTTCAGATGATCATAAACATAATTTTTTAAAAACACATGTCACTTATTACTCTTTTGTTTGTTGCTGACCACTTTGGATTGTTCATTCCTTTACAGATGAGAGGTAATAGAAAGTTTGAAATAAATCTGCGAGAAATCCATTGCATAAAGAAAAGAAGTTATTTTGTTTTGTACATTGGGAAAAGAGTCCATCTTCTAAGCAGCTGTTCCATTTTCCAGGTGGATATAATTTTTGTGGAACGGATATCATTCAAACCCTTTCTTTTATGGATGTAGAAAATGAGACACACACAGGTCTATGGCATTTCCGCAGCCAGGGACAGAAAGGAGCCTACAATCTTAGATTCAAATACAAATATACAATAGCTCCTTGAGTTGAAGAAGTCAGAGTGCTTAAGTCAGCAACTACTGAAATTCTGTTAGCTAATAATTTATGTATTATAACCACGTGAAGATGGGCTAAGGGCATATTCCATCAATCAGTCAGTTTTGGAGAACAGAGCTAGGTAAACTAAAGATAGAGTCTATATTAGATAGATAAAAATAAAGAGTGTATATTTTTCTGTTAGAGTGTAGTAAGCATAAACTTTTTTTGGCCTTTCATAATAGATCCACACAATTCATGTCATGTCCAGTAAACATATATTTTGAGTTAGAAGCATGCATCTATTTCCCCCAGCATGTGTGTCTGCCACGCTGGACACCAGCTCTCCCTGGGATTCAATGCTACATGTCTCTGACATGAGATTCAGATTTAGAATCTCAAGAGCTAGAGAAACGTGTAGAAGAGCGGCAATTTTCTCGTATGTCTGTGCAAATTGCAACCATGCATACGTGGCCAAGAGGATGGGAGGGAAAGCCTGAGAGAATATTGAAATGGAGCGAGCTCTGAGGTGATACAGAGCCCTGGTGGCACGTCTGGTTAAGCATCGCACTCTGTAGGAGAAAGATACTGGGGCTGCCTGGATTGACAGTCCCAGAAACCCCAAGGAGCAGTTCTCCTCTGTCTTACAGGGCTGCTATGCAGCAGAACTGATTCTCCAGCAGTGGGTGTGGCTTTGGTTCTTTTGGTTACAGATCCATGGCTGAACACACAGTCTGCGGGTGGGCTGTGGAGAGTGTGCGGATCTTTAGTTTCCTCCTTTGCTTTCAGCATCTGCATGGCTCTCTGAAGGCAAGCAGCATGTGGCTTGTTTCAAGGGGTGTGCGTCACGGCCCCTACCTGCAAGCTCTCGCTGGTGTACCCGACCCAGGATGATTAAAAGACCACATGCCTTTCTACTCGATTGCTGACTTAAGGTCGTTTCAAAGGCTGTCTTCTTGCTCCTATGCAGAATTTTTCCTAGATAGAGGCTTTTGAACTTAACTTTCATATAAAATCTGATTCAGCCCACATGGAAGAAGCACACCGGTCTGTGCAAGCACAAGGTGTCAAAGGGATCAAGTGTAAGGCATCATCAGAACAAAAAATCTTGCCATACGAATGAGGTGGGGAGTGCAGAGTGGAGACTCAAAGCCCATTTGTAGGCCACTGGAGATCCCCCTTGCAGAGGGGTCTCGGGAAGGAGACGAGCCAGACAGGGTGTGATGTAGCAACGATGAAAAATACAACTTTCCTCTAGTTCCTAAATGCTTCCTCCCCGCCCCTACTATCATGATCCCAATTCTACCTTGCAAGGCTGGCTAGATCAGAGGGTGTACACTGGTATAGATAGGAACTGGAAAAACAGGGAATCCAGGACGGATGATCCCTTCAGGACCAGTGGTGTGAGTGGTGATACTGGGAGCGTAGAGGGAGAGTGGGTTGGAAAGGGGGAACTGATTACAAGGATCTACATGTGACCTTCCCCCTAGGGAACGGACAACAGAAAAGTGGGTGAAGGGAGACGTCAAACAGAGCAAAATATGACAAAATAATAATTTATAAACTATCAAGGGCTCATAAGGGAGGGGAGAGCGGGGAGGGAGGGGGAAAAAAGAAGACCTGATGCCAGGGGCTTAGGTGGAGAGCAAATGTTTTGAGAATGATGAGGGCAATGAATGTACAAATGTGCTTTATACAACTGATGTATGTATGGATTGTGATAAGAGTTGTATGAGCTCCTAATAAAACTATTAACAAATACAACTAAAAAAATCTGATTCTACTGTTAAAACTCAATGGATTTTCACATGACTATGATTACCAGTGCTGAATGAATTCCAAATGGAGAAAATGTCAGAGGTCATTTAATGATTACTCATGACTAATTCAGTTCACATGTTCATTTCTTTATTAAAATTATTTTTGCATGATAAAGTCATTCGATTCTGGCTCATTTAAAATGTTTTAATAATTTTATGAGACATAGGAGAGTAGAGAAAATTATATACCACGTGATTTAAATGTATATTCAGACATGTTTTTAGTATTAGAGCAATAATTTGATGGGTTCTGCACAATGCTGGATGATGTAGATATTTTCCCATCACTCCACACAATAATATTATGAGGTTTTGTTATTTATAAAATAATATATTACGTTTTATAGCACGGGATCAAGTTATAACTATAATAATTATCATGTGACTGAACAAAGTTGACAAAAAATCATTGTATGTTTTCTGGGAGATGAGTTGGAAAACTCAGTTCTCTGGCTTAAATGAGAAATGCATTTAAATGCGTGTCTATTCATTTAAGTTAAAATGGAGAGATGAAGGGACTCATCACAATCCGGGATACAAATGCCTAAGGTTCACAGTTAGAAATAGTCACAACACACACACACACACACACACACACACACACGGAAATAAGCATATAGTCACCTTATAACTTAATATCTTAGTGAGGAACTAGGGGAGGGCCAAATATTAGCTAGACTGTGTGTGTGTGTGTGTGTGTGTGTGTGTGTGTGTGTGATCTCTATAACAAAAACCATTCACAGGTTTATTGGACAAGAAATAGACGACACATTTTTTTCCTTATTGCTGTCAGCCATTTTTTAAATATGATGAAAAGTCAAAATACGTGATTGATGAAGATGGGGTTCAAAACCAGGACTGCCTATTTTATAAACCTGAAGTTTTATTCTTACTCTCCTAACTAGACAACTAATGAAAAGAACACTTCTGAAGGCATATAAATAACTTACTATTCGAATATACTTGTATACCTCTTCAGTATGTTTTGAGTATAGTCTAACATTGCATTAAAAAATATCTCAGCAATAAAACTTTCCATGATTTTAAGGTTTATATTACAAAAACAGGAGACATTTCCCTTACCTGTGTAACCAGAAGGGCACTCACAAAGGAATTCACCAACATGGTCTTTACAAACTCCATTGTTGAGGCAGGGCAGCGAGCTGCATTCATCAATGTCTGTCTCACACTTTAGGCCTGAGATGCAAACCAACCAACAAAGTCTGACCAAGGAGAGCAGCGTACAGAAACAAAGCCCGACGTGTTCCACAGTAAATAGCCCAGTTGTCTGAGTGAATTGATACATTTGAGCCATGGTGCTGGCAAAGACTATTGAAAGTACCACGGACTGCCAAGAGAACAAACAAATGTGTCTTGGAACAAGCGCAGCCAGAGTGCTCCTCAGAGGCCAGGACGGTGTGATCCTCTGGACAGGCTGTCAGGAGAGACCAGTCCCTGGAGAAGGACATTGGGGCTCTGTTCATTTTTGCAGCCACTGTGTCCATCCATCTCTTTGGATGACTCTGTACTAAAGCAAAGTGTCCTTCTCCAGGGAATGGTCACTCCTGATAACACGTCCTAACTAAGTTTTACCGTCCTGTTCTTCCATGACAGATTGTTTGCTCTTCTGACAGTTCCTGGTAAATCCAATAGCTTCACCCGGGTTCCAATTCAAAGGCATCCATGCTTTTTCTGCCTTACTTGCTACCAAGGTCACCTGGCAGAGGGGATGGGTCAGGCCAAATCTTGCCAGCTCTCAGGTCGTGGGCAAGTGTCTTAGAGGGGGTGCTTTCTCCCAGAGAGGGCACAGCGCCTCTGTAGGTTAGTTTAGACTGAAACCTAGGCTCTTCCCCTGTACCAATCCCATCAGTCAGGTTGGTGTTTTCTAGAAACTGAATACCAACATTCCGGCCTTTCTCCGACCTACTGAACTAGAAATTCAGGGAGTGGAATCCAGCACTTCGTGTTTCAATAAACAATAAACCACCCAGACAATACTGATGCATGGTAAAGTTTGAGAATTATACCATACCCTTGCTCAAGTACCACGTATGGTAGGATTCTACAACAAGATCTATTATTCTTATAGAAGGTCAGTATGAAAAGATTTTATAAAAATAGAAGCACACATTCACATCTACAAGCACCCAAGCAAGCTGTAATAAATGCACTACTCATATTTTTGGTCATCTGGAGCGATATCTTATTTTCCAATTTTATTCTTTTCATGGTAAAATCTTTTATTAAGCAACATTTTCCTTATTTAAATCTTTCATTAAAAATTAAAATCTTAGTGTATTATATTTGGGAAATACTATATAGAGCAATACACTGATTATTTGCAGTAAATTTCCATACAAAGTATAGCTTATTATTTGGACTGAATTGAAATGTGAACCTAACTACAAGAAGACAAATTCTTACACCACATGACCAAGTTCAAAACAATATTGTTTTTATAAGCACAGCCTCCAAAAAGCCTATATAAAAAAAGAGCAATACCAACCAACCAAACAAAAGAACGCCCACCATAAGTGTTCATAAGAACTTTTACTAGTGCACAGCAAATGAGAGAAACGGGCTCTGGTTAGAAGTGCAGGCTCTCAAAGGAGGGCAATCTGTTGTATGTCATACATTTAATTTGTATTAGAATAAAATTTTGGACATGAACCTGAAACTGCCTTCCAATTTAAATCATGGGTTATGATTTGACTTTTTTTAAAGAGACTTAAATAAAAAAAACGATCTAGAGACTTTTAACGTGATTCTTTATTCTCTAGACTGTGTTATTTGTGAGGTACATATACTTTTTTTTCACCTATTTGTTTATACACTTCAAGCACATCTTTGGGCACTGATAAGATCTAATGGATCTTACAAGGAGCCTGGTGGTTCAATGGTTAAGTGCTCAGCTTGTAACGAGAGGCAGGCAGCTTGAACTCACCGAGCAGCTGCAAGGAAAAAGGTATCTGATGACTGGCTCCCTGCTCAGATTGGAGCCCAGGAAACACCATGGGCAGGTCTGCTCTGTCACGTTGGCTCACACTATGAGTGAGAATTGACAAGACAGTACCTAGTAGCAACAACGCATCTTACAGGGTATATTCTCAATGTTATGCAGTTTGGCACTGAAAGTCACAATTATTTCACAGGAATAGATATTAAAAACATCACTCTTATATTTTACCTGTATATCCAGATGGACAGAGGCACACATAACCAAGCCCAAGTTGTTGGCAGGTTCCACGATTGTGGCAAGGGTTTAAGAAACATTCATGGAAAACCTACCAGTGGCAGAAAAGAAATCTCTCAGAGACAAAATGCTCAATTCATTTCAAAGCACTCTAACTGGGGAGTCAATGGGTTTGTAGCTTTAGACGGCCAGGCCGAGTTTCAGGTGAGGCCAGCTGAACTACAGTTGGCACACTGTAGTTGGCACTCTAACTGGGGAGTCAATGGGTTTGTAGCTTTAGACAGCCAGGCCGGTTTCAGGTGAGTCAGCTGAACTACAGTTGGCACACTGTAGTTGGCACTCTAACTGGGGAGTCAATGGGTTTGTAGCTTTAGACAGCCAGGCCGGTTTCAGGTGAGTCAGCTGAACTACAGTTGGCACACTGTGAGAGCCTGCCATACATGACACTAAGGCCTGTGTGGTTCTTCAGTGATGTTCTGGAAAACCCAAGCAGGGCTTCTACATCAGGACTGCCCATTGCAATCCATCTGGGATGTTTTAAAAACATACCAAAGCCAGGTCCCATCCAGGCCCACCTAAATCACAAAGTTCGTTCATCCTTATTTTCAACTTTGGTCACTGGGTTAAAATCTCTCTCCAGGGTTGAGAGCCCCTGATGCAGGCTTTCCCACCCGTTTTTTATATTTACGAGGCTCAAGTTCTAGTACAAGTTGTTTGGTTTGGACTAGACTCTAAGAAGGTGAAACAAGAAACAGTTGAAACATCCTCAATGATAAAGACGAAAGAATTCATGGCATCGGGCAACGTGGACGCTGAGCAATTTCTGAATCAACCAAGATAAGCAGGTTGAGCAACTGGTCTTTATGCAAAAAGAAAGAAAGAAAACCCTTGACTCAGGTATTTTCAAAACCCAGGCTGTATTCAACTAAAAGATTCTTTTTTTTTCCAGAAGAAAATAAATTAAGTAAATTTCATGGCAGTGAACGTTTCTGCCAATCAGAAAAGGCCTTTGGGTCAGCCAGCTGTTCCCTTACTCACACGACGGCTGGCACTGTGATCAGCGATCAAAGCGGCCCCACAGCTAGAGTCTCAACTTCCAGACGTTGCTGGGAGAAAACTGGTGATATTGGTACAACAGAACTTCTAAGACAGCATTATTGGTAGTCACATGTAACTGAATTTATTCACTTATAATATGCATGACTCTTGACTCATTCAAGTTTCAATTCTAGTAGTTGTCCTCTGTGGGACAACACAATGACAAATTATTCCCAGACTCTCCGTACAGAAAGTGTTATAATTGGAAAATGGACTTGCCTGACTGCTGATGTCATACTTCTTTTTGATGTGTCCGGGAGAGGGAGCCGGCATTAAACTCTCCTCTGCAGCAGGGAAAACCGAACTAAAAGCTAACAACACGAATAGGAGACGTTAGGAAAACATGCCAGCCAGTGTAGCTACTGCCATTAAACAGACTGTCGCTACCAAATCGACTATGTCTAGATATTACCTACAGTCAAAATTCTGGTTCACAGAGTGGGCAAAGCCCCAATATCTTGTTTCAGTTTGTTTGTTGGCTTTTTAAAAATAGGCAGCATAGACATGGACAGCATATGTCATCCAATCTTAAACACTTAGAAAGAAATTTAGAAATCAAGTTCAATGTTCCCCCAAACAAATCAAAACTCAAAAGACCACACTGAACAAGTCCAGATAACTAATATTCAGAATTGTTGTGACCATAGAAACAAGCAAAATGAAGTCTCCAATATGTGATTATGCAAGGAGTGAAGGGTACCATCTTACTCGAACAATCAGCAATGGATTTGGCACCACGGAATGCTGTCGTTCCATAAAAGGGGCAAGCTAGGCAGAAGGACTTCCCTGGGTCGGGTTGGTAGTAGTCGTGGGGACACGGATAACAGGGCTTTAACCCAGAACGAGAGAATTCTCCCACTGGACAAGGCACTGTAAAGATAAAAACATAATGTGTAGATTTAAAGTAACACACATTATTTATAAGGAACATGGTACTTTGGTCATATGAAAGCTAGCAATTACTAATATGACTTCCACATATTCAATATTCATAGTATCTAGCTCCCTGAAAGTATTTTTCTGGGTTTCTTTTCTGTCTTAATAGTACACCTTAACTCAAAAAAATAAAAATTGGCCATGTAATATTTTATTTTGATGCAACTTAATGTTGTATCATGAGTATTTTCCCAAAGCATCTAATAATATTTTGTAACATAATGTTTAATAACTATGATTTATTATGATAAATCATAGTAAGTATGATGCTATCTACTGACCATAACTGAGCTAACATTTTCTCCACTATTGGACATGCAGGTTATTCTCATTTGCTTGCTATAATGTAATGAAAATTTCTACATACATCCTTGCATACAACTCTGATGATTTCCTTGGAATAAATCACAAAAAGTTGGGTTTTTAGGTTGAAAAATATGAAAAACAATCCAAGCCATTGATACATAAGACCAAATCATGTCAGGGATGTGAACAGTCTTACTATTGTGCAGCGTACATTGGAAAGTGGACTATACCAGACGTAGTTAGGTTAAAGTTTAACCTTATCTTTTGATCTCTCTTTTGGGAGGATACATTTTAAAGTTGTTCCAGTTTTTTAAATGTTCCGCTTTCTTTCCACTAGAGGTTTTTCTCTATTTTCATTTACTATTGTTGTTAGCTTGTGTTCCTTTGTTTCTTGATCCAGGATGGGTGCATCTAGAGACAGTACTGGAATAATGGTTTCTTGGGGGTATGGCAGGGAAGGTTGATGGGAAATGGGGAGCTAATAACAATGAGTGCAAGAAAGGAGAAAATGTTCTAAAATTGATTGTGGTAATGATTGCACAACTCTTTTTGTATGACTGAATCACTAAATTCTATGATATATGGATTATGTTCCAGTAAAACAGCTAAAATAAAAACCGCACATGAAAAATAGCTCCTGCCAATAGTGGCATCTACAGCGTATGATATTGCCTCATTTTTTACACAACAGCATGAGTAATTATTATCTGAAAATTCGATTTGAAGATGAGATGGAATTGCATTGTTATTCTCATGCGTATTTTGAGTTATTTTTTATTAGAAAGCTTTATTTATCCTATACAATTGTATATTACATATTGGAAATCTTACTTTTATAATTATTCTATAAATCAAGGATCTATATCATTTGACATACTTGGAACAAACACTTTTGCCAGTTTGTGTTTTGTCTATTTTAAACTGCCTTCATTGAAGGTCATTCATTTTTATTCATTCCATTTAATTGTGAGGTAGGAGCCTTGGAGGCACTGTGGCTGCTCACTGCAAGGTTGACAGTTTGAAACCACTGTCCGAGGGAGAAAGATGAGGCTCTCTCACCGCCACTGAGTCACTGCTGACTCACAGCGACCCCTGTGGGTTTCTGAGACGGTAACTGCTTACTGCTGGAGTGGAAATCAGACTCTCCCCCCCACGCCCCCCACAGAGCTGCTGGTGGTTTCAAACTGCCGATCATGCGGATGTAACCACTACATCACCAGAGCTCATCCTTCGCTAAATTACAGTACTTGATCATTAAAATCCTCATTTTGTTGCTGTGTTTATGCAATATTAATTATAATTTAAATTTTTTCTTTGTGGAATTTTTTGGGAAGGATTACTTAAGATGTTTGTATAACAAATTGTTTTTTTAAAAATGTTATCTTTCAGCATGTTACTCTCAAGAAGAAAAAGACTATATTCCTAAACACTGACAAGAATGCCAAAAATTTTAAAGACACAAATATTCTAACAGTGATAGAATATTCAGATTAAAATCAGCTCCTGCTGGTTTTCCAGAATAGCTAACAGTATTGTTATCAATAATTCCTTGTGAAAATTGGTTTAAATTAATTCCAAGCGTAGACATATTTCGAATGGGAACTATAGTCTCTAGGAATGGCCAATGAACAGTACATATAGTATTTACATATATAGTAAATTTTTTAAAATTTAAAATGTCCATCTATAAACATATATAAGGGGGCTTCAAAAATTGGTGAAAAGATTCCATTACCTTTTAATGCTATTGTTCTGTGAACCTTTTGAAAGCCCCTCATATAAAATACTACTGGCCTTGGTGACACTTTGGGTCAAGCAGGTAGCCATTCACGTCAGGTAAGTGGTTCAAACCCACCAGTCACTCTGTGGGAGAAAGATGAGGCTCTGTGCCCATAAAGATTTACAGGGTTGCTAGGAGTTGGAATTGACTTGATGGTAGTTGGTTGCGTGTGCGTGTGTGCAGAACACTACACCCATAAACACTCCCCACCCCCAACCCATAAATACATAGGTCTGAAAGGACTACCATAAGAAAAGAAAGGAAACGGTTTCATTTTGAATTGCAAAGAAACTGGTTTCTGACTCAGTCATAATAGAACAAGTCCTATCATCTACTCATGGTAGAGAGAGGAAAACCCAACTATGCCAAAATTGATATTAAAATCGAATTTAAAAGCATCAACTGAGATAGATAGCAGAAAACACCATTTGCTAGGTGTGATTTTCACCCCCAAAGGCTGGATTTTGGTCTCTAATGGCATCTTGCATCAAACAAATAGGTTCCTTAGAAGAAGAGATGAGGTAAAACAAAACAAAACACCCACAAGATTGGGGATGTTTTATATTGGCCACAATCGAAGTGCTAGATTAGAAGGCCTTAACTTGCCAAACTGTGGCAACGGAGCATCCAAAAATACAACGAAGTTAATCAAAACTAGTTAAGTCTGTAGAAAGCCTTGAATACATAATAAAATGGAACATAGTTTCTCAAATAATTGGTACAATAGGTTAATTTGATACAGATTAAGGAATTACTGTATATGTTTAATAAATTTAATTTTATGTGTATTTTTTAGAGTGAGTGGAAGCAAATCTAAATACCAAGGCTAATACAATCAGCATAGAAACAAAGAGCAGGCACATGAGATTTTTCTTCATGGCCACCCCTTTCCAGAGTGTCTACTTCTTAAAAAAAAATGTCGATGAACTGGTTCTAAGTGCCTCACAGCTTCCCCAGACCTATCATTTCACTTGCACTGTTGTTCCATAGCGCCGAAGCCAGGCCTACTTTGCCTTTGAAATGTGCTTCCCATGACAAAGTCAAGGTCAAAATTCTCACCCCAAACTTCATCCTAAACCCCGTCAGAGTAGAAGGTGATGTCCTCTTGGCTCCCAAGGACTCTTGCTTTCTGTGGGAACACATGCCAACAGTGACACCAAGAGAGACAAGGCATCGTTCATGGAATGTGTTCCTCAGTTACAAACCAACCTCTTCAAGTGGAAGATTTTAGAGGCTGGCGTTTGTAACTACAGACTCAAGAATATCTGATGGCCTAACAAGTGACAAAAGGAAACATGTACAAAGGCTAGGTTCATACTTTCGGTAGGCTTAAATATAACTGTTCCATTGATGACTTTTGAGTTCCATCTGCTAAAGAAATGAAAAACATAATATCTTCCTCAAAAGTAAGATCTTGTAGAGATGCCATCAGAGAGAGAGAGAGAGAGCGAAAGAGATTGTTGGAAGCTAGAAAACAGAAGGGGGCGTTTTAGAACTTAGGAAAAGTTCCGTTTACCATCCAATGGTGCTTGCTCAGCACCGCAAGAGACAGCACTGTGTGCTATTATCACGATGTGCACTCATGCTGAGCAGAATGCAGTTAAACGTGTGCTTGGAGCATTAGGGAAAATGGGGCAGTAAGTTACCAGAAGCTTAGTGACTTTCTGGGAATTATAGTTGCTTAATTGTAGTAATTCAGTATTAGACAAGCCTCAAGGTTTATTTTGAAAAGCTAAAAGGAAAAAAAATGTCAAATATGAACTTTTTTCACTATAAAAATCCTGGTTGGCTTGTGGTTGGAGAAAAACCGAAAGTATTTTTTTATTGAAGACTCTCCCTGAAAATTAGCTTATATACTGACAAAATAAAAGACTCTCTAGCAGATGTGTTCCAACCATAATGCCAAGTCTTGCTTAACTGTAATTGAAAAGAGTCTAAGGCTGGCATTACACAACAGATAAGGTTGAAGAATTCCAACTTGGTCCTAGCAAAGTTCTCAGCTTCTCAGTTTCACATTAGGTTGCTGAGCAAGACTCTCCCAATTCCTCAAATTCAACAGACTCTAATCTACTATAGTCCTACTGGACTGAGATAATCTAAACTGATATGGTATATAAAAATTCCTAGTAATTCAGAGTGTGTTTTCCCTACAGCCCCTGCCTTATGAGAACTACAACTCCCAGCATACAATGCTAGGCACTGCCCTACACATCCCATCTGAACTAAAACTTCTGAGGCAATTATTTCTGAGGAACGTCACTCTCTAATCATATGCAGATATATGGCTGCAACGAGGGCAGGGTGTGTGTGTGTGTGTATGTGTGTGTGTATGTGAAGACAAACCCACAACCATCAAGTCCATCTCCTTCATAGTGACCCTAGATAGGATTTCAAGACTATAAATCTTTACACATGCAGACAGCCTCACCTTCCTCCCCAGGAGCGGCTGGTAGGTGAGAAGCTTAATGTCTATAACCTACTGGGCCCCCAGAGCTCTCTACACTGGAATGAACAGGTCCGCTTCTGAAAACCTCACTTATTAAATAAGGGAATCATGTTTCAATATTCTGATTGCCACAGATCTTAGGTTTTTAAATAATGTAGAGAATGGGGAAGATTCAAAATTATTTAACATATATTTAAACCACGAAGTGCTATTTTGAGGCAAGCCAACAACTGTTTTTACAGCCCCAGTTCCATTGATTTGCAAGTACAGTAGCCGACAGTAGTTGTAATTTTCTGGAGTTTCTAACGCTACGCTGATTTTCATTGGAGTCTAAGTTTCATCATAATTCTGAAATCTTGTATTTTGTTTACAGCTTCATAAGTTTTTTTGCTGGAAGGCTATAATCAGGAGAGATGTCAATCAGATCTATTTTAAAACTTGAACCTTAACTTTCTTTTTTATTTCTAATCATTTAAACCTGCGTGCTTCTAGGATCAGCAGAATCAGCACCAATTAAGAACTAGGTTCAAACAACAAAAACACAAACCTCACTCCCATTGAGTCAACTCTGCCTCATACCAGGCTGCTCCTTGGGATTCTGAGGCTGTAGCTCTTTACAGGAGTAGAAAGCCTTTACTACTCGGAACTTGTGGTTAGTAGCTTAACCCACTGTGCCACCAAGGCTCTGGAAAATTAGTTAGCAATGCAAATTCTCAGCCCCAGCTCCAGTACCAGCCCTCCTGAATCAGAGGGCTGGAATTGGAAGCCCAGTAATTGTGCCTTAACAAGCTCTCCTCACGGAAGGCGAAGAGCTGAAATGAGGGGGCCTCAGCTTTTCCTGCCACTTTGGAATCCCCTGGAGAAACCTTAAAGGAACATCAATGTACAATAGACAAATTAAACTGGACTATGTGGGGATGGCGGCAAGGCTTCAGGACTTTAAAAATGTTGATGGAAATGTTCAGGCGGGTCTCATGGACAGCCAGGGCAGACAACCACTGGTGGGAATCTTCAGATTGGAAGAAATCCAAGGGGGTGATCCTCAGAGTCATGTATTTTGCAGTTTCAAGGAACATTAGATAGGACTAAATTTTAGACAGGAAGAGACTCTAAGTTCCTAGCTTAGATATCTATCTAAGCATGAAGCACATGTTTTTGACTATCTGAAACCTGGGTCCATGTCTCGCACTTTTGTATTCTTAGCTAACAGTAAAAACAATGCTGGGGTCCAGGTGGTCTCCACTGCATGTGTGCAGAGTCGAATCACTCCATAGATGCTTCAAGGCTGTGACTTGCCTAAAGCAGATCACTAGGCCTTCTGAAGATCATCAGCCCAATGCTTAGCCTTTGGCGTGCACACACACCCCCTTCAAGGACTTCTAATGCTAAACCCATTGCTGTCTGGTCCATTGGGACTCACAGTAACCTTACAGTCACTTCCTAACACTAGCACGGTGCGTAAGTCTTAGATGAGGGAATAGGAAATCTCTAGAAAGAGACAGTCATTGATATTCTCTGCATACAACAGACCTAGGGTTTTGCCAAACACATCCCATTTTTCGTGTGTAGAAAACAGTAGTTTTAGAGAAATAGCTATGCCTAAGGCTTTGATAACCTCCACATGCCGAAATGTTCACAGCTCCTCTTTTCACGGTCAAAGTGTTTTCTGGACATACGAGGCAGCCCTGGGCCCCAACTGCTGGCTGGTAAGTGCCCAACGGACACGATTCACAAGTCTCAAGTCCATTGGATGAGTAGGTGCCTTGTTGACACTGAGCTAAAAAGAAAATGGTTGTATGATTAGTAATGAAGACATTATGATGTACAAAATGAGCACTGTGTGTGTGTTAGAGCTAAAAGCATTTGAATTCTGGGCAGAAGCAGAGAGATAGACAACTCTCCTCTGATTGGCCAAGCATATACACTGTATCCAAGACTCTCTCATGCTTCCACTAGCTACTACTAAGTTTGTAGATGTTTCTCATTGCTTCCTTTATTGTCTAACAAACTACTTGACCCAATGAACGTGTTCAATAAATCGTGGGTGAATGACACCTGACAAACATTCCAGAAGGGAGCTATCAATGGACAAAGTGGCCACTAGGGAAGGGGCAATGTTCTCCTGAGAGGTGGGAATAAAACTCTAAATTGAGCTAAGGTCCCAAAGTGACCCTGGGACCTTTGCCACTCTAAATGAAAAAACTGGCTGTGCTCCCTCAAGCTAGCCACAAGCACCAATGCATTTCAGGGCTGCCAGGGGACATAGATAAATGGAGTTAGAGCATCAGGCCCTGTGAGGCTGAGCGAGTTTCTAAAATTTCTAGTGATCGTTTGTACTAGAACAGGAAGACCAGATTCCCAGACTTCCTGGACACTGTCCCCGCCTTCTGTCCTTGACCCCAGGCACTCTCATCGTCACCACAGCTAATCCTGTTAGTGCGATGTTCAGTCACCCATCACTTGTCCTGAGTTTGTGTTCATTTGTCTCTAAACACCCACCCCTGTATTTGCAACAGTGGCAAAGAGGTACCATTTTTGAAAGCCCTTTTTGGAAGGACTTACTATAACCTGATTCATGAAAGTGTTTTCCGTGTGCACAGAAAGTTCCCTATCCTAAACATTCCCACCAGGCACTGTCATTGCGAATAATAAAGATACTTTGAATAATACTAGATCATGTAGAATGAATACAGACTTGTAGTTATTCAATTACAAGTAAACAGAGAAATTGATCTCATTATATCAAGCACTATTTCAAGAAAAGTGACTTTTCTAATTGCTGAGTGGCATTAAAGCCATCTCCAGAAATTAATGTGAAATTATAAAGAAATTCCGGCTACCTGATGGTGAATTGGAATGGTTGCTGATAAGATTTGACTTCTAGAGAGAAATGGAGTATCCCCATAAGAAACACCAGCTTCTGCCTTTCTTTCTTTTTTTTTAATTGAGGAAAATATTTGAGTAATAGAATAGGAACATTAAGTATAGAAACATCAGTTAACAGAAAAGTATGAATTAATGAAACTAACAAATCAATAAATTCACTTGAAGGAATGCTCTTAGTTTGTCCTGTTTGCCATTTAGAGTTCAGAACTGGGCCCAAACGTCAGGCTTCTGTTTATCAAACATGCACACTAAGCCGCTACCTTTACATTCCGAGATGGTTCTCGAGTGGAAGTACTCGGTGTGTGTCCCGTCTGGACAGAGCTTGCATTCCAGCTGCCCTTCTTCATCCTGGTAGAATCCAATCCCACAGCTTTCACAGACGAAGTGCTTCAGAGAATAATAGGTTCCCAAAGGGCAATTCACTGAAGAGAAACAAGCGAGACACGTGGACGAGGTTGGTGAGCTACAGCAGTGGAGCGCAGGTTCTTTTTGCCCAGAGCACATACGCAATAAAGCACATCCCAGGCACCAAGAAGGCTCCATTTCCAGCAGGCTACTCAGGAGGCTAACCCTTGTAGAAACACATTTGTAAAAGTCACAGTAGTGGATTCTCTTTGGTCAACTTCTGATTGACCTAACTTAGGACTTGTGTGCTTTGAAGTGTGGGTGACAGCTAGGATAACCTAGGTCCCCATGAGCAGCACACAACTAACAAAGTGTAAACGACTGGATTAAAGAATGAAACAATGAGTGTTTAGGATGATTTAAGACCTTGAGTGAATACAATGTTTTTCCTACTCTTCCTCTTAGGGAAATTGACTGCCCACAACAGCCTCATTTCTGGTGACAAAGATCAGACAAACGGGGTGAGAGCAAGACAGGTGAATTAAGTAGACCCTTGTGTCTGCAGGCAAGAATCATTGCCCACCAAAGGTAAAGCTTAGGCATCCCAGATCTAAGGTCCTGGAGGGAAACAGGCTAATTTTAGAACCACCACCCCGACACCCTGGGGATTTAGTCTACTGTTTGACAGCCTTGTGGCTCAAATATTCTGAGCCCAATGTGAAATATTAAACCCATTAAAAAGCTAGCTAGCAAAACTAGAAACCTTTGATAAAGAGTACTTGAAGTCAGGGCCCAGGACACAGATCCTAGGTGACAGGGGGGTTTAGAAGTGTGTGAGAGTTACTTTGGGCCCCAGCTCCAAAGTTTCTGATGCAGTACTTAGGAGATGGGTGCAAGTGAAGCTGCATGTTAGCAAGCGCTGGAGGAGAGGTTGCAGATGCACCCAGTCTGAAGACCACACTGAGAATGGTGAATAGGGATCCAGGTGACTCCTGCCTTTTACTCACAAGGTGGGGAGGAAACCAGAGCAGGCTCAGAATGACAGCAATTTTAATGTGCCGAATAGGTAGAACAATAGAACACATTCCATGAAAGCCCTGGGACTAGCAATAGGGAATGGGTGATGGGAAACAGGTCCTGTGCCTACAGAGGGACGGACACGAGACTTGTGTCCCTAGGCTCAGCAGAGTGCACAGATTTGGGTTCGGGTGGAGGGTGGGTTTCCACTCTTTTAAATTCCGGCTTCTTCAGGAAATCGGCTGGGATTAATCATGGCAATCTAGAACAGGGGTTAAAAGTTAAAGGGCTGGGAGCAGGTGGGAGGGGATGGGACGTTGGGGATAGGTTGTGGGGAGAGAGGGATGGGCAAGCGGGAACAAGGAGGGGGAGCGGGACTAGTTAATGGGCATGAGTTCTCCTTGAGCTGATGGAAGTGTCTTGGGACTAGATGGAAAAGAGGACCAGCCCACACTAAGAATATACTACATGCCAGTGAATGGGACAGTCTAACCTGGTGCACTTTATGTCGTGTACATTTCATCTCAATGGTTTTAAAAAGTCACAAAAGTTAAGGCTCAGGTGTTACCTGCCTGGGAGTAAACTCAGCTACATGACTTGCTGTCTTGATGGTTAAGACTTACTGAATAAAGGCTCAGAGATTCTGACTTCAGTTTCCTCGTCGCTAACCTGTTCTTAGTCATCGGGGCAGCTCAGAGAGTTGTTAAGATAGGGCTCGCACATGAAACATGCTTAGTCAGGGGACAGAACTGGTCAAAAAGTTCCTGCAGGGCGTGGACGAGGTCTGCAGATTTATCAATAAAATAAAGATGTGTGACCCTGAGTGGCTGCGCACACTCTCAAGACAAACTCATGATGCCAACAGCCACAGCAACCATAGCCAACCCATGTTTGATTTCAAGAGCCCTTTGTAGTTGCAAAAGAGTTCGATCATTTCTCCAGATCCCCAATGAGCTCGAGAATTTGGAGACCAGACAGGCAATGACGGAAGGGGCCAACTCACCACACATGCGTCCTCTCAGCAACGAGCCAGGTCTGCAGAAGGGCAAAGCCTTTTCGGTCTCCAGGGAATTGGTGTCGGCGACGAGCATTTCAGAGGCAATTTGGAACGCGTTCAGGGGCTGCTTACTGAGGGTCCTTCGCAGTCGATTCGTGATGGTTTCCAGGGTCTCAATAAGTCGTTGCTGATTTTCGAATTCAAGAGTATCGTTTCTTTCCTCGGGTAATGGCACACTAGCTGCGATCAAAAGAAGCCAACGTAAGACCTAACACACACACAAACACACATGGTGTTTTAGGAAGACACTCGTAATTCATTTTTACCCCCAAAGAAACAGCGTGTTATAGATACGTTAGGAAAGAGAATTTCATAAATAAACTCAGCCAATACTTCCTGAGCACCTACTGCGAGGTTAATAATAAGAACCCTATCATTTTACCCCCTCCTTCTGTCATGAACTGAAGGAAGTCTAGTGGCATAGTGTTGGGCTGCTAACCAGCAGGTCAGCAGTTTGAAACCAGCAGTCCCTCTGAGGGCGAAAGGGAAGACTTTGGGCCCCGTGAAGATTGACGACAGCCTCACAAATGCAACCGGGCCATTCTGACCCGTCTAACAGGGTTGCTTTGAGCTGGGGTTGATGCCATGACAATGGGCCATATTCTGGGTCTACATCATCTTGGGGAGGGGGTGTTACTCGCTACAGCATATTAAAGACCTCCATGTACAACACCCATCTCAGCTCATTACACCAAGATGAAGAGAGAAAACCCCAAAACCATTGCCATCGATGTCATTCTGACTCATAATGACCCTGTAGACAGAGTCGAACTGCCCCATAGGTTTTCCACCGTAGATATCTGGACAGAAGGACATGGCCCCCTCTTCCTCCTGCAGAGCAGCTGGTGAGTTTGGATTCTTTTGGTGACTCGCGACTAAGTGCTTTCCCTCACTGCGCCCCAGAATTGCTTCGGTGGCTGCAAGGATCATAAAACCCAACTGCGATCCCAAAGGGCAAATAATGAGAAGACTAGGTGATTCGGGTCTACCGACTGGCTCAGTTCCCCGGGTGATTTCATCTGACTCCGAAGTGGAGAGTCTGAGGACTGGGTTTTCCACCAAGACTTTTACATGATATCATTTCTTCAGACAGTTTGCCCTTACCGGTAATGTTGAAAATTAACTTAATTTTGTGGTCCGACTGTGGGGCACTTCTTTGGATCCGTGGTGGCCTGGCTTTGCTGGTGCCTGTGGGGGTTTCATGCACAGCGTCTACAAAGTCATCATACGAGTAATCCAGCCTATTGCCTGCACCCCAGCCGCCTGGTCCTGGACAGTTGGGGCAGAGAAAGAAAGCACCATACCATTGCAGCTTCCTTGCAGTTAAGGTTCTGATGGTAAACAATAAGCAACACATCTGCTGATGTCAAATTGCCCTCGTCTGCTTCCTAACCTGCTTGTAATGTACAGCATACAGGATTTGGCCGATAGTCCTATAATTTGGGGGTATGCGATTATTAAATAGATTGCTACTGAATTAGTCTAAAAGATGAACACAAATGCCTGGAGATACCTTAGGCATCTAACTGGCGACCTACTGCTGAGTCAGGAGCCCGGCCGTTGAAGTGCTGGCTGCTAACTGGAAGGTAGGTATTTTAAACCCTCCAGCTGTCCCACAGGAGACAGCAGCACTCTGCCTTGCGGAGTTAGATGTTCGATCACACAAGCATCCTATGGGCACCACGGTGTGTGCGATTCTCTGCACGCACCATTCAGCACTGCTATGAACGTCTTGGGTTCAGATGTAAAATTTGTTACCTAAGGGAAGTCATCTGAGCCTCAGCTTCTTCATCTGAGATAATGATCCTTACTTCACAGAAGGTGAAATATATGAGATAATATATTTGACTCATTGTAAAACTTCAGTAAGTGATATTAATATCATTGCTCCGTTTTGTGCTTCAAAAATTAAAATCCTATTTATATAGGTATAGCCAGCTAAGCACTTTTAAAAAATGCTAATTTATGTTTATTGCTTACCTTTTCCCTTAAACACTTTCCCACAAGTGTTACATATTTATTATAGAAAAAGAAATTAGATGAGCAAAGAGAAAAATATTAAAAATCGCCGACAACTCCATCATCTAGCAATAGCCCAAATTGACATGTTAGGTAAGCCTTTCCCTACCTAGGCGTGTTGAGAATGCATTTGTATGTGTGTATCTGGATTAAAAACAAACAACACAGTTAAAACCCATTCAATTTTGATTACACTGTATATATTATTTAGTAATCTTTTTTCAAAAAAAATTTCGCCTAACTACCATCATGACATTTCTATGTCACTAGTGAAACATATCAGGCTATGAATAGTAGTTAAAAAGTATTCTCTACTATAACTCTACAACAAACCGTATCATCAGGCCACTAGTTTTAGGTTATCTCAAAGTTTTGGAACCTACAATATTTTATCATATCTGAGACACCGTCAATGAGAAGACACATCCCAATTTCAGAGATGTCAAAATGAAACATGTGTATCTGAGTTTATGAAATATGGCACATCTCTGCACCCTGGCCTGATCTTTATAAAAAGAATTATTCTTAGAAGTAGAATTTCTGGGCCTGAGAGTGTGAACACTTTTAATTCTTAGATACACATCATGAACTGCATTCTCATTTCTCTTCTGACCCTACACATTTGCCACATGTGGGCATTATAATTCTTATTCATATTTATCTGACAGGTCAAAATTGGTACCTTATTTTAGTTTTAATTTTAAGGATATGGTGATCATTAATTTATTATTGGACCTTTATATTATGTTCATTCTGACACTCCGAGGTATTTTTTTCCTCCAAGGTATTTTTATTTTTAATAAGTCTTATGCTCATTTTTTGACTCTCCTCTAGGAAAACATTCAAGGAAGAAAGGTTTCTTTTTAGGATCATGTATGCAATGCCTCGGACTAGAAAACTGGGATTTGGATCCTTTACTTGGACAACAGCATCACCCCGCTCGTGGTCCTCGGTGACAACTGATCCTGCACTCTGTGTGTGTCTTTATATCCCTGCAGCTTCAGCTACCTGCGAGGGGGAGCCTGGCTCGTGTGGAGTAGAAATGGTGTCATCATTTGGATCACGTTAAGAAATCCACCACTAGTGTTATTTTATTTCAATCCTATCTAACAAAAGCCACAAAAAAACAATCCAAAGGATTAACGGACTGCAAAACCCCAGTCTGCATGACCCTGAGACCGGAAGAACTATCGGGTGCTGGACAATTCACTGAGGACTTGCTTTAAAAGTGATGACAATAGGAGGTCCTGGATAGAGTGGGAAGAAAATGTTGGAGGGGGGGGCGGGGATAGAGAGGGCTCGAAGTTATCAGTAGACCACACTTACAGATCTGATAGAGACAGGTGGTGGAACCCTGTGACTGGCCTTTAGGCACCCTTCAAACCTAGAATAGAGTTCATCTCCACAGATCACCTTTTAGCTAAGTGACAGAAAGGTCAATAAGTTGAACACCACTAGGGAGAGAGATCTCTGCTTAGTAGGACAGTCAGTCATAAGAGATCAAAGGGTAGCATTTGCCCCATGGGAAAGGGCAGAGGAGAGGAAGAGACAGGAAAGACCGAGGAGGGAATGGTGAACACGGGAAGAAGTGAGAGCATGCTGCTACACTGTGCAGAGTGCAAATCACTTGACAAAACAAAACGTGAGCGAGGGGTTGAGTGGAAACCCAATTGGCTCTTTAAACTTTCACCCAAAGCATAATTTTAAAACTTTCACAGAAAATTACGTAAGTTAAATAAAACGGGGAAATAACTCAAATAGGAAATTGTTTGCATACATTGTGCTAAATTGATTTGATGAAATAATATGCTGGCATTAACAGTGCCATTACACAGTATTTAATGGCATAAAAATGTCTTCTAAGATATTAACTCCATTTTACAATCCTTTTTTTAATTTCCCTGGTAGTTTATCATGCTGAAGACCTTGGCTAGTATTTTAAAATCATTTACTTCAATTAGCTAATAAAAGGTTCATTTTTATTAAACACCTGATTAATAAGTAAAACAATAATAAGGGTCCATTTTTCTACTATGCTCCATTCTTCTGGAATCATCTTTTATTTTGCTGATCAGTTTTGCAAACTACCAACACTATAGAATTTCATTACCAATTGCAAAGCCATTTTCATAGTCATAATTATATTCCAGGCAATATTTCTGGGTCAGGTCCTCCATCCTGCAGTCAATGTCATCAGCATCATTACAAAATGATGGGGTCTGTGAATGAAAAGCAAACAGGAGAAATGTAAGCCACATCTCTGTGCATCCGATAAGCCCTTTGCTCCCCCAGCCTTCACACACCTTCAAGGGAAGAGAGGGCCCCAGCTCTCTTCACACTCTTGGAAATTTTAACCCCCCACCCCCTTCCATCTCTCTATCATCAGTGCCTACAATAGAACACAGACACTAAGTCTTTGGTAAATGAATGAATATGGGTTTAAAGTCATAGTCTGATCCACTCTCCCAACAGTAGCAAATGTAACTATGTTGTTCATGATACAGACACAGTCAAGCACACATACTAATCGTTTTCAGATCATTTGAAATGTGCGTCCACTTACCTGTTAAGATCGTTTAGTTTAGTCACTTAAAGAGTTGAATCTGCACAACTCAACAATTCATGTACTGTGGCTCATAGCTGGCCAATACGCATATAATTTCATTTTCTCAACAGGGTTTTAAATTCTGTACCATTGACTAAACTAATGACATTATCAATGCATAGTGCTTATGCATTGGGCAGATCGCTGGGAGTTGGCCAGTTCTAAACCACTGGCCAACTCTGCAGGGGAAGGTTGAGGCTTCCTAATCTTGTGAAGATTTGCAGGCCTGGAAACTCAGAGGGGCAGTTATACCCGATCCTGTAGGGTTGCTATGAGTCAGCACCGGCTTGATGGCAGTGGAGGTGATGCCCTAGGGGAGGGATTGATAATGCTCTCTAACATCAAATGACAATGTTGTCTCTAAGGTGAATCAGAGACATATATAAACTATAAATGCCTGAATGGATTTTGGCCTTGTAATTAATTCTTTCTAGCCCTAATCTAAGAACAATTATTTCTTATGACGTGGCCCTGCTTGATGCTTGTCCTCATGAAGAGATCACTGAAGATGAGGGTGCTATAGCAAAATGTGGTGAAGAAACTAGCGGGTGCCTGGTTACCAGAAAAGATAATGTCTGGGGTCTTAAAGGTTGATCTTCGAACAAGTAGCCATCGAAGTGAGGCATCAACTAAATTCACAGGGAAGAGGCACACCATGATATGCAATCCAAGGACTGTAAATAATATAGTCCAAATCTGAAGGAGGGAATGGCATCAGAGCTTAAATTATGAACATCTAGTATTTGCAGAAGGATATGGACGACCGTGGAAGCTCTAAGTCCATTTGCAGGGTCCACGTGTGGATTAAACGTCCGGTGAATCCCCTCTGATCAGAGTTGAGAGACATGAATAGCCTTGCTGTCAGACCGAGAGCATTAAGGCAGAGATAGTTTAAAATGTAATACCATTTGATTTCCCCTTTGGCATATTTTGAAGTTGTTTCAGTTTAAAAAAAAAGTGAAGGGGAAATAAAAGTGGATGACGCCCCTGGTGCCCCCACTCTGACCGTGGAGCAGGGTGTGAACAGCCGTGCTGTCATGCAGAACGTATTGGAACGTGGATTGTTGCAGATGCAATTAGATCAAAATTTAGCACCCTACCATCTGATCTCCCTCATGATCCATTTAAGTTTTTTCTAGTTTTCAATATTTTCTGCTTTGTGACTTAGGCTTTTATTTGTTTTACTTTGTTGTTGTTGATACATTTTTAAAATCCTGTTTCCCTTTAATGTTTTTCTGTATGTGAAATCCAGGATAGGAAAATCTAGAGACAGTAACTGGATTAATGGTTCCTTGGGGGTGTGGCAGGGGAGGTTGGGGAGAAGTGGGGAGCTAATAATGATGGGTCCAAGAAGGAAGAAAAGGTTCTAAAACTGATTGTGGTGATGATTTTACAACTCTTCTTGATGTGATTGAACTATTGAATTGTATGATATATGAATCATAAGCCAATAAAACATTGAGAAAAAAAGAAGTCATTTATAGTCCCTTTGGAGTGGGGCATAATTAGTATGAGATGTATTACTACCTTTATTTTGTAGACATAGTTGGTATAATAGTTTTGTTAGTTTACAGTGGTTTGTTTGTTTTCCTTTCTTTTTGGAAATTGGTGTACTGAGTAGATTTAAATGCTGTTTTATTCAGCATGCATTTATTAAATGAATGTGTTAATATTTTAATGTGTTGACAGCAGGGCTTGCCTCAGAGCAACCCCACGATAATAGGTTTATTAGTAAATAAATAAAGTGCTATCCACTTTGTTAGGGATGTGAATCTGAGTATAACAAGATGTTCGGTACAGTTAAATATAGTGTCCCACTTTCCCCTAAGCCCTGAAATGTTCCTAAAAAATACACAGGAGAGAAAAAAAACATTTAAATGTTCAACTAACTCAGTATTGCACACCGAAAGCAGTCTAGAATGTTTGGCGTTTTGTCAAATGTTAAATAATAGAGCAGGTATCCTCAAGCAACGTGGCCCATACACTTCTGACTTTCTGACTCAGCATGTTTAAAAACAATTCACAACATTTTAGTACAGGTTTACTTATGACTCATTCCAGACATGTTTAGACCACACGAAAAAGAGGGACATAATCAGGGCAAGGAATTTCAGTTGCAAGTGGTCAGGAGACTATGAGAAGTTTGACAGACAACAAATCTTACTGACATACCATTTTCCCCAGGGTAGTCTCAAAAGCTTCAGAAAACTTCTGCAGCAGATCCGTGTCATCACAGCGGGTTGCTTTGTAAAGCATTTCAAAGGACTTGAATCCATGATTTGCAAAACGCTTTACTGGAAAATGGTGGACAAAGCAGCTTCAGTTGGTGAGTGACTTTGAAACAAGATTTAGCTTTCTCTGGAATAACTGTAACCTCGTATTGGAATACTGACACAATCGATGAGATTGTAATAAAGATCGGTGGGGACGGCTAAGACCCTTCTCTAGGGACTCCTTGATTGTAATAGCCAGTCAGGCTGCAGTGGTCGGTTACCGAGTGAGGGGAGTTGGTTTGTGAAACACTATTTTTACCTTCCAGAAAAGAGAAAGTGGGCATTTAACATAAGAGATATAAAGAATATTTTCATAAAAGGTTGGTAATTTTTATAAAACTCTGCCTGGATCAAAGATATGACATTTTCATGCAATCTTGTTGATTTTAAGGTACCACTGGGTTGGTTGGGACTCAAATCCACCCACTCATATTCACCATCCTCACAATCATTGTTAAGTTTGAGTTCACTGCTATAGCCACTGTGTCACTCCACGTACTCTCATTTACCAAGCATGATCTCCTTTACCAAGCTAGTGACCGGCCCCCTCTGATAACATGTCCAGAATAAATGGGACAAAGTCTTACCATTCTTGGTCCTAAGGAACATTTGGTATTGAAAGATTTCTAAATATTAGGGGTAGCTATCTTCCTTGAAAATGTGGTTTCTACATAAGTGAGTTTCTATGCATAGAGACACAGCAAGATGTCCTAAAGCAGTCAGAAATAATACCTCTATATAAATAACATAGCGATCAAAATCGTAGCCTAAAGCTGTGAAAAAGGCGAGTAATATTTATGGTATTTATTTCCCTAAGTTCAAAATCATTAGACCAAGTGAACTGCCTTTATTTATTTTCCCAGGGAAACTGGCATTTGAATGCCATTCACCTTTGAGCATCGAAGATTCGTGCCAGAGAACGTTTACTTACATTAGACAATGTGGTTATGCTTTAAAACAAAAATACATATTTGAGTATAGACTAATTCAATCTGCATCTAAATCAATTCTAAAGAGAATGGCTGATGCATTTAATTCCATTCCATATGAGTGTAAATTGAAATTTATCATTACAAAAATATCAACATATGAAGTGCTTGTTTCTCTACATATCCTCCATCTAGTTCTATACCTTTCTAACAGCAGGGTTTTCATTTCTCTAACTCTTCCTTGGCCTAAGCCAAGGTATCTTCAATGACTGCATATGCCTGTGAAAGTAGGGCATTGAATAAGGAAGGCCAAAGAAGAATCAATGCCTTTGAATCGTGGTACAGACAAAGAATACTGAAAGTAGCATGGTCTGCGAAATGGACAAACTGATCCGCCTTGAAAGAAGTACAGACGGAAGGCTCCTTAGAGGGAAGAATGACAAGACTCTGTATCGTGTGCTCCGGACATGTTAGGAGAGACCTGGAGAAGGAGCTCATGCTTGGTAAAGCAGCAGGGCAGTGAAGCAGAGGAAGCTCTCTAGAAAGATGAATTCACACGGTAGCTGCAATAATGAGCTCAAACCTCAGACCAAGTGTGAGGTTGGTGAGAGCTGGAGAGTGTTTTGTCTGGGTCACTGTGAACCTGAACCAGCTCAAGGGCACCAAACTAGAACAACGACCCACCCTTCCTTGAAGAACCTGCGTACCAAACGGCAAGTTTGGCATCTTCAAGGGAGTCAAACTGTGTCCCTTTTCAATGTTTTTTGAGTTTGGGGGAAAAAACAAGTCTGAAGGGGCAAGATCAAGGCTGTCGTTTGGATGGGACAAGGCTTCCCCATGAAATTCTCATAGAATAAGCAAGTACATTGTCGTGATGGAAAAAAATTCCTGGGCACAATTGTCCTGGCCATTTTTTATTACCAATGCAGGTTTCAATTTCCTTAAAACTTCTAAAAATAAGGCCCTATGATTGTCCTATGTCCTTCCAGAAAATCTACCAACACTACTTTTTTGGAATTTCAAGAAACAATTGCCAGAATGTCTGAGCTCATCCCTCTGCCTTGAATTTCACTAAATCTGCAGATCCCCTGGGAAGTCACTGTGTTTATTGGACTTTTTTTTTTTTTAAGACACTAAGGAAATTAAGACAAGCGAGTTACTGGGAGAACTTGTCTACCCACCGATTGCGAAGGCATGTTAAACACATGTTATTTGGAATAAACCAGGAGATAAAACAGTAGCAATACTTTTTGATTTCCCTTTGTATGCTGTTCTTATTTTAAATATGAGCCCTTTGGCAAACTCTCAGACTAAACTTTAAGTTCCATCTGAGAAGTCAAGAATAATAGACTGACCATCTCTTCAGATTCTTCTAGTGAATACCAATGGAAGGGCTGGGATGGGTGCTCCTTCAGATGATTCTTCCTCTACAGAAATGCAATATCTCACATAGCAAACCTTTGGTAGGCTAATTATTTTAAATCGAGGGATGAGCATTACTCTTATCCACAAACAGCTATAATAATTCCAAGCACCATTTTTTCATCCATCAAACTTGAACCCCCTAGTAAGGCAACTTTCCTCTTGAGTGCTTTAAGAACGCACACACACATTCGCATACAGTAAAGGTTCTCAGAATAAGATTTAAACTTACTAGCACAGTCCGGCCATTCAGTAGAAAACGGAGGCTTCCAGATGCCATCTTCGAAAGCACAATGATACTTCTCAGTAGTCCCCTCTGTGAAATCGTAGCCCTCCAAACAACTTAGTGTACAGTTAACCCCGGCACTCTCTCGAGTACATTCCAAATCTCCATTTACAGGTGTAAACGGAACTTCACAGGGAGAACCTATGCAAAAAAACATTATTATTAATATGTAATATTATTAGAGCTTGCGTTAGTCTGGGTACTTTAGAGAAACAAATCCACAGAAATGCATGTATAAGAGAGAGTTTTATATAAAGATTAAGTGCGCATCAAGAAAACATCCCGACCCAGTGCTGCTCAAGCCCAGAAGTCCAACATAAACCCATTAACCCATATGTCCAACACCAATCCACAAAGTCCTCCTCCATCTCACAATACAGATTCAATGATGCCGACTGCAGGAGAAAAGCCGAGTCAGTGAACGTGTAAGCATCTCAGCACTGGCCGGGGTCTCCACACAGGTGCTCCAGCACCCAGGACTGCACTGGGGTAGGTCCATGTGGCTTCTCCTCGGGGATGTCTTGCAGGAAGTGAGCCTTACAAGCTGAAG